AGTAGATGATCAATGAGTGGATGGTGACTGAGTGGATGGTGACTGAGTGGATGGTGACTGAGTGGATGGTGACTGAGTGGATGGTGAGTGAGTGGATGGAGAGTGAGAGGATGGAGAGTGAGAGGATGGAGAGTGAGAGGAAGGTGAGTGAGTGAATGGATGGTGGGTGAGTGAGTGGATGGTGGGTGAGTTAGTGGATGGTGAGTGAGTGGATGGTGAGTGAGTGGATGGTGAGTGAGTGGATGGTGAGTGAGTGAGTGGATGGTGAGTGAGTGAGTGGATGGTGAGTGAGTGAGTGGATGGTGAGTGGATGGATGGTGAGTGAGTGGATGGTGAGTGAGAGGATGGTGAGTGAGAGGATGGTGAGTGAGTGGATGGTGGGTGAGTGAGTGGATGGTGGGTGAGTGAGTGGATGGATGGTGGGTGGGTGAGTGGATGGATGGTGGGTGAGTGGATGGTGAGTGAGTGGATGGACAGAGAGTGGATGGTGAGTGGATATATGCTACAAAACTATAGCCATCAACCATCAACCAGGAAGACATATGCTTGATGACAATTATGATTGTCAGTGAAGGAAGTTACCAAGCACATTTCACTCGTTTGAGATTGTAATAATGAAAGTGTCACAGGTTTCACATTGCTTGTAAAAATTACCTGCATAAAAGTCTCATTTATCCATGTATGCATAAAGGCAACTTAACTGCAGTCAAGATTTGTTTAGGATTTCATCAACAAAAGTTGATTTAAAATGCAAACCAGCGTGAGACCTTGATTGAGTCTTTGAATGTTTCTAATGTGTTACCAATACAAGATACAAATAATACTCATGGTAATGTTTGCTTTGATATTAAAATTTGTACCTAGCAGATTTGTTCCATTAGAAATTTATGTCCTTTGTGTAACAGAACTGTTAAAAACCATTATTGAGTCTCAGTTTAGTGTATTTAAATTAAAATCTTAAATAACTATTTGGCTCAAATATTTGAAATGTGTTTCTAATAATGCATATACAGTAACCATAAGCAATTAATAATATTAGTGCTCATTTTTTTGATCACTTTTAGGTTTTGTAAGCATCTGATATCTTACCCTTCATTACCATGAACAGCAGCCACCATTAAAGGAGTCCATCCTAATTCATGGATTTGATTTACATCACTTCCTTGCTTGATTAAACTAAAATCAAACACAAATCAATCACTATAAATAATGCACCTTTCAATTAAATTAAGAAATAAAAAATTAACAGCAGTATTTGAAATTTTTAGTATAAGTAATGATGGAAATGCATTGCACACACGCAGTTGTAAAGTCGAAAAAATGAATAACAAGTCATTGATAATGACACAGTCCCCGTCCAAAATGTTGTGAACTGACATATCAATTTGATGCTGATGAAGTCATTGAGATTAGATTGAAACCATTAATAAGAGATGGATTTGTAAAAAAAAATGATTTAGTGCTTTTACATGATAATTGGACATTGGGCAGTCATATTGAATCAAATTACAAAAATAATGTTGATGTATCTATTGGTATACTGTCTTTCTACAAAATTTAAACAGAAATGTTCATTGCATTCATGGGAAAGTAGGCATGGGTATCATGAAAACCAAAATGGCCACCAGTCAGCCATATTTGTTTGAACCACGAAAAAAGATGACGTGCACCTACAACCCAATATGTATGATCCAAATCGGCCCAGTCACCTCCGAGAAACTGCTGCAAACACGTCTGCCATTTTTCTCCAATCATAAAGTAACTTGACGCACATATGTAAGACATTATGTATTGTTTCCATGTGGAGTTTGAATGAAATTCGTCAATGGGTGTCCGAGATATAGCTCCGGACGTACGTACGGACGGAACAAACCCAAAATAATAGTCCCTGTCTTTGGACTTCGTCCGAATGGGGACTAAAAAGCAGGTGAAAGCCGCCTATATTTGCACATTGTCATATGAGCTGTCTGTAAAATGTTAAAATACAGTGTGCAAAGTTGGAAAAATCGATTACATGAAGTTGAACACCAGGATATATGATGAAATTTAATACGTAAAATAGGGTCCAAGTGTAACTTAACAATAAGCTAGCTTGACGCTGGTTTCAGACTAGCTTAGTTTGCACATTTCTAAACTGTGCAATGTAGTCTGCCTAAATATGCCTAATATTATTACAGCAATTCCAGGCACTGATTTGGCGCTGAAGTAGTGCTAGATGTTGATAACTTACTACAATAGGTCACTTTGTTTTCAAATTTACAGAAGTTGTAACTAGAAATATAAACATCGGCTGCAAATCAGAGGAATGATTGACAGATATTGCCCACAATGTTTTCTATTTTGCTACAAAGTCAGGTACACCTAGACTTTGGGGCGCGTCTGTCTTTCATTCACTTTTAGTCGGTCATCGTGTCAATTGCGTGTCTACAAATCAGCATTTGTCCAAGTTGTTTAGGCACCACGATGGAGAAGCAAGGAGTCAAAAAAACAGTTGAAGTGAGAACAAGAGTTGTCGATTTGTATTTTCGTGGACTGTCATTTGCTGAGATTGGAGATCGAAATGGTGTTTCAAATCAGACAGTTTATAATATCATCAAACGGTTTGTTACCACCGAGATTATCCTGACAGGAAACTGACAACGTTATAGACTATGTTGAATATTATAAAACCCTTGCGACCACACATTGACGGGCAGGAAATTCGACAAAAACTACTTGTGTACGGAAGCAACCCTCCCCGGACGTGTTATTGTATGTTGCCAGTGATAAGCTTTTTAAAGCGATTATTTGGTGGCACATCAACCTTTTGGTTCTCATCGTCGAGAACTAATAGTCAAATAACACCCATTCTACTTATGTATTCAATTTCATTATTGATATACTGGATGAAGTCTTCATAGGACATTTGTTGCAGGCAGCTTTCAGTTATATACATCGACGTGATACGGATATTTTCATAGTAGGAATAATGCACTTTGATCAATAATTCTGTCATGATCAGTTGGTCAGCTGGTTCTGTAAAATAACGTTCTTTACAGTGCCACCACCTTATGTGCCCCTTTCACTGAAATAACATGTGACGCAAATTGAAGTACGAAACTAAGTCGAGAGCCTCGATCGTTTATTGGAGGAGAAATTCAAAACTAATGTATCGCCACTTTTATGGGCGGAGCTTTCTTCCGGTACGCTTCAAATTATTTGTAACAACTTCTGTAAATTTGAAAACAAAGTGTGTAACCTATTGTAGTAAGCATCTAGCACTACCTCAGTGTCAAAGTGCCAGGACAGTTAAAAGAAAACATTCAAATATATAAATTATATGAATTGGCAAATGCCTTACCGTTTGAGTTCAATAATATTATTTCTCTTTGCTGCATTAAACAGTCGCTCTGAAGCTACAGAATATCAACAACAAAATGGTGATTAGCAGAAACATAGATTAGGTTACAGTTACTAATCAAAATACAAATTTGTTAAAATACAAATCCAGTCTTGTATATGATGTACCGGTATATATAAATTGATTTTTGTGGGACCTATTTGATGTACATCACGAGCATTTAGCTTAACATATAGGGAAGGAAAAAATTTTTGATTTTTGGTTTTAACCTTTTCATCACCAGTTCCCTCTTTCATCACAAATTTCACAATATAGTTCCATTTATATTCTGCACCTTTCTTCAGAAGATTGGGACAAAAATAGCCAAATTATTTTAGTAAAAACTGAAAATCAACTCAAATTTTGTCTGTTGGGTCCAAAATTAGGGTTCTTCCAGAAAGAATAAAAGAAAACAAGTCATTGTCAATGACACGTCCCCGTTCTGTTCATAATTGAGTGACATATACATTCAAAGCAGATCATGACCGAAATGCACCTGCATATGTACAACACATTGTACTAAATCTGAACA